GTAGAACAATCATTAAAAGGTTGATTTGTAAATTAAATTGACCTATGTGACTCTCCTTTCATAGCTAAATTATAAACTTCATCCAAATTAAGAAATAGCTTTATAACTAGTACTTGAGACTTTAGTGAAGAAAATGATTCATTCAATCCATTGAGAAACTTAAACACATAATATTTCTCATGTATCTCTATAAAATTTTAAAAGCAATCATTATTACACCTTTCATAACTATAATAAGGCAAAGATCTAAATTCTTGAGTTCTTCCCATACTCCATTAAGTTCGAGTAAAGTAAGCGTTAACAAATGTTGTACCTATAGACCACTATAAACCGCAAATCCTTGACCAATCTGGCTATGAAAACCTTTTTTTCAACACTACCTAAATTTTCATAATCGAGTTCCTATAGAATACTATTGCAGCAATACGTGGTGACATTGACCTTAATAACCAATCAATCATCAAACTATTATAGCGATTACAAGAAATGAAAAAAAGATTATCCTCGTAAGGTTAAGAGACGGAGCTATTAACCATACCTAATTTATTGTGAATTGCAATAACAAAGACAAACGATTGATTTCAATTACCATAATTCTTTGTAGTTACTTCAAGAGTAACTAAAAGATATCTATGGTGATCCGAGTTATGAATGAAGTAAGGAGAGTGAGGATCGTCAAAAGCTAAAACTTCTTCGACCATAGATGATCAACAAGAAGCACAAATTGAAAGAGCAAAAACTTTTGAGTGAAGAACAAATTGAAGAACAAAAATGAAAACCTAACGGATCTCCTACTTTGATACCATGTTGAATTTTCCAATGGAGAGAAAACACGAGAAGATTTTGGATAAAGAATTACTTATTGATTAATTCAATTCTTCTTTTATATCGCCTACTCGTTAAATTAGCTAACTAACTAAGATTGTAAAAAAAAAAAAAAGTTAAAAGCACCGAGGTTTTTACTATTCATTTATCGTAACATTTTTTTTTACGGGAGGGGGAATTGAACGCCCGTCGCCTAGGTTGCATGTCGCAGTGCGAGTCCGAGCGCGGCCTTCCCCGACAACTCCCGCTCGCACTCTTTTTTTTTTCGTTTATATATATATATATATATATAGAAAGAAAAAAGGCCGAGCTTGCGCTCGGTTGCCTTGTGCGAGCACGGCCTCTTTTTGTTTTTATTTCTTCCTATATGTGTGTGTGTATTATCATAAAATTAGGTGTGAAAAATATAAAAAACAAATTATTATTATTTTAATTTTACGTGCGAGTTTGAATATGATAAAATATTATAAAAAAATTAAAAGAACTTGAGGTGGGACTCGTTCATTTACCGTAGTAATCCCACCTCTAATTCTTTTAATGATCGTAGTCCCACCCACAGATCCCTCCATTTTTTATTTTTAAACGTCTAGCCTCCTTTTTTTTTTTTTTCCCTTTTTGGGTTAAGTGCTGGAACTTCATTGTAGCATTCCTCTTTTTTTTTTTTTTTCAGTTTCTATATTTGTAGGACTATTATTACATGGTCAAATATATTATTTACGTGCTTATTTATTAGAAATATATTTTGTTTAAATAATAAAATTATTTATAGTTAATAATTATAATATATTATCATTATATTTTACAAAACAATGTCAAATAATTATTATAAAATAGCTATTTGTATTTTGATTGTGAATATTGTATTTATTATACAATATAATATTTTATTATTATTTTAAATTACAATATAAATAATATATTAATATATTATTTTATGAATTTGAATATATATAAAAATTGATAAGTATTTTAGTAATATAATATATTTGATAATTATACCATATAATTAAATTAATATTACATTATTATTAGTTAAATATTATTTTAAATATATTGATATAATAATATAATATTTATTAATAAATGATTTATTTAACTATTAGATGAAAATTGTTCTCCTTCTATATAAATAATTTATTTTTATATTTTTTATCATCAAATTAGGTATGAAAATATAAAAAAAGATTGTTATTTGTTTTATTTTATGTACAGTTTGATGAGTAATAGAATATATTAAAAGTTTTTTAATATTTTTGTTTGAACATATATATCTTATTACATTATTTTTATTATTTAAAATTTATTTCTTCAATTGTTTATTTCTTATTAAAATTCTCATCGATTTAATTTTTAAATTTTATATAATTTTATTTGTTAATAAATTTGATTTTTTTATATATGGCTTTTGAAATAAAATTTTAGAATATGATTGCTTTATTTTTTAAAATATATTATTATAATTTATACGGTTGATTATTTTTATGATTTTTCAATAAAAATGACGTTGTCACATATAAATTCGATGAGAAATGGAAAGCTAAAAATGTGTTTCGGATAATTTGACTTAATTTTTTTAAAAAATAATTTGGCTTGGTTTTTTTAAAAAAATTAATAATTAGTTAAAAAATTAACGAGTTCTATTTAGTTATATATTTATAATCAAAATTTATTAAAACCAATTTTATAGTAATTTTTATTTAAATCTATTCACTTCGATATATTCCATGCAATTTAAGTGAGTTTTTTATATATATTTTTTAATTTATTTTATATACTCTAAGTCTTATTTAAGTGGATCATTTAAAAAAAATAATTAGTTAAAAAATTTACAGGTTTTATTTGGTTTATATATATAATTAGAATTCATCAAAACCAAATTTATAATAGTTTTTATTTAAATCTATTTACTTCGATATATTCCATGCTATTTAGATGGGTTTTTTTATATTTTTTATTTATTTTAATTATATTTATACATATAATATCAATTTTTATTTTTTTCATATTCTAAAATACGTATTTTTAAATGAAATAATTTAATTAATTTTTTCAAAGAACTTTTTAATTATTAAAATATAAACTTTTATACTAATATTATAAATTATTTTATTAATAAATAAATATAAATCAAACAAGTTTGTTGAATATATAAATTCGATTTACATTGATATTTAGAAATAAAAAATTTAATCACATCATATCATATGAATCGTTAATTCTTAATATATAATGATTTTCGTACTGCACCACAGCGAGAGTATTTATTAACTAATTAATTGAACTCATTTAAGACTAGCTTCACAGCTAACTCCTAACTATTTGATGACTCATTTTGCCACGTCATACGCACTACAATAGTTGTATATTCTGATGTCACTCTTCTGTACAGGTCGGTTTTCTCCAAGTTGAAGCTGCATATTTAATTGTAAAAAAATAATAAAAAAAAAAAAAAAAAAAAAGGGAAAATGTTGGCAATCAAGCTTGAGAAAATTTCCACCTCGTTGTTGCCAAAAACAAAAATTTCCCTTTCTCGTGTCAAATTGCTATGAAAACAAAACAGTGTTAATTAATTGTTCATCAAATTAACTGCTTAACTACATGCCATTAACATACATGGTAAAACTTTTTTCATATATATGAAGGAGAGTTTACAAGAGTAAATTATAATTTAATTCATGTATTTTCAATAAACAATTAATCAGTCCCAACCTATTATTTAGTCTCTCTAGTATTAATTGTGCTTAATTCAATATTATTTTATTTTAAAAATGTTATATTTTACCATCAATTATTTCATATTTTTTACTCTTTTTTAATTTTTTAAATCAAAATAAATTAGAAAATAAAATAAAAAATTAAGTTATAAAAATTTTTAAAATATAATAAATTAGATAATTAATTTTCAAAAATACACTTCGATAACTTCTATGTATAACATGTAACCTGGCCTCCTAATTCATATTTTTATCAAGGACCACTTAAGATTCCGCAACCCTGGCTAGCTGGCCGATTCACTTATCTTTTGACTCTGAGGTTTCTTTTTTTAGGGGATTTAATTACTCGTTCATCGATTAATTCCTAACTCCTTGCAAAACTTATGTTAATTGGAAATTTTAACAAGTATTATCTATTGAATTATAGTTTGCAGGTGCCAAGATATATACACATAAATTAAATAAAATTTAAAATTCATTTCAATAACCTCAATTATTATAAGAAAAGGAAATTTCTAGTTTTCTAGTAAATAATAACATGATAGTATATTTATTACATTCCAATAAGTATTAAAAGTTAAAAAACATTTAATTTAACCAACAAATTGTTAATCAATGATAAGCGAGTTAGTTTTCAGATCAATTTTCTGTTGATGCATAGCCTTCGAATCTTGAAATTACATTTATTGAAAAGAGTTAAATTTTATCCATCATATTTCAAATAAAATTAATCTTATCTCTAATGCAGAATGAAAATACTTGGTAAAAAAAAAATCAATTTAATATAAGCAGGCCAAAACAATACAAAATCTTAAAGATTAAATTTTATGTTCTCAAGACTTATCAAAAACCGGTTAGTACAGTTAATAAAATTGCAAATTGCAAATTAACACAAAAAAAATTAAAACTAGGTAAAAGTCATTGTTTAGTTGTGTAGTTAATACCAACAACAAAGTTGTAAAAAAATTGGGAGATAGCTTTCCTCTAGTTTTGAGTAAATTATAAATCAGTCCTTCTAATTTCAATAAATAAATTAACTATTTTTTAATTTAATCAATATAGATTATAATTAATTAAATATTATTTTTATTTCATAAAATATTTTTTTCTCTTCAATAGTTTTATATATTTTTCAAAATGAAAATCAAAATAAATTAAAAATATAAATATATTTAAAAATATGAAGATTAAATAATTAATCTTTGAAGGAGAGAGACTAATTATTATTATTATTATTTTGAAATGAATGAGACTAATTTATAATTTACTCTAAATTTTCATAGAGTAAAAGTCTATGAGAGAGAGAGAATAGTTGAAACGTGCGCGAAAAAAAATGGTCCCTTTTTTCTGCCATTCTTCCCGTGACTTCCCTCTTATAAAAAACATAAAACTTGTGTCTTATTCTTTACCGAAAAAGAGAATGCATTGCTCTACATAATATATAGCGTACCATTGTTTTGCCTATAGCTTAGACAGTCTTTTAGCAACAAATTCTTTGACCTCCGAGAATAATTTTGAAGACTCGGGCAATTCGGGGAAGACATAGAATGCGTGGAACATATTGGAATACTCGAGTAATGTAGCCTTTTTCCCGGATTTCTTTAGCCACTCATAATACCTCTTTTGCCAATCTTGTAACGGATCGAATCCACCAACAATCACAATCGTTTCCGGAAAATCCAGACCCGAAATATCCTCGGCATTCGGTCCACTCACGTTCACCGCATAATGATCCCGATCCGATCCGTCGGGCAGAAACGCTTTCCAACACCAATCGGTTCGCTCCACTGACACCAATGGGTACCCGACCAATCGTAATTCGGACTCGGTCCTCTCTTGCCCGCCAAAATATGGCTGAATAGAAACCAGCCCAATTACCTTAATTAACTGAAACCCGGCCCGACAAGCCCGAACAGCAACATGATGGGCCAAATTTGCCCCGGCACTATCTCCGGCGACAAAACACCTGGACAAGTCAGCGTTCGGCGGCAATAACCCATTGGCTCGATTGTCGTCCAGGAACCGAAGCACATCAAATCCATCATCGTATTGAGCAGGAAATCGATGTTCAGGAGTACGACGGTAATTAACCGAGAGAACAATAGCATGAAGTCTTCGGGCAAACCTGCGACAAACAAGGTCGTATACTCTTGATGCAGGACTTAAGAAAGAAAACCCACCTCCATGAAAAAATATCAAAACAGGCAAAAAGGCAGCAGTGTCATCATCATCACCACCGCCACTGTTTGTTGGGGTGTAGAGGCGGAACCAGAGGTTGCGGGTCGGGTCGACGGTGATATCAGAGGAGAGGACAGAGTGGACAGGTTTGTTAGGGGAAGGAGAAGACTTGAAATCAAAGAGATTAAGCATGCGTCTGTGTATGGTACCGTTTGACCGACGTGACACATCTGTTGCGACTGAGATTATTTTAAGGACTAGTCGTGTCTTCCATGGGAGGACTGGTTTTCCTAATGCTGGAGTTTCACTGCCCATACTCTGTGAGAGAGCGAGCGCGCGAGAGAGAGAGAGAGAGAAGGTTAAGAGTGACAGAAGATGGAAGAGACTCTCTCAAAGTGGAGTTTTTTAAAGGATGAGTTTCTTGGGTAAGGTATGGGTAGTTGTGGTTGTTGTTTGGTTGTGTGGGTGGGTACATAGAGTGGCCCAATGGCATCAACTTGGTGGAAATTCTTATAGTCGGATGAGAAAATTTTAACACGAAAAGAAAAGGATCATTGAAAAAGTTTTGCATTTTGGGTAGATTAATTAATGGGATAACCCTTCTATTTTAACAATTTCTTCCAAATTTAGATATCACTATGTAGTTGCCACACTACACCATGCATGGGATACAATAGATGAAATCATTTAAAAAATAATCATTATGATTTAATAGTTTTTGTTATGATATAGATCCAATAAATCTATTGAAATCAAAGATAAAAAAATATTCACCTAATTTTATTATTTTTAATTAAAATTTTGTATTTAATTAATTATTTATTGTGTTTTTGAAAAGATTCCCTTCTTAAAAAACACAATTTATTTATTTTTTTGTTATGCATGGATTCTTTAAAAAAATTATAATAATCTAAAATACAAGTTTCAATTTATTAGAAATCATAAAAAATACATATGTATAAATTTAATTATTTATTTTATAGGATTTTTTTGAGAAAATAAAGTAACAATTAATTTTAAAAAATTGCTTAAAAAATTTAAGATTTAGAATATTGTTTTATAATATTTATGGGAAGATGAATTTTTAAATGTAAGGTTTATATACATATGTTTCTAAAATAGTAATAATAATTAATTTTAAAAAAAAATTGCATAAAAAAATCTATTTAAAAAATATGATACCATCGTGTGTTGTTTTTAAAATATATTTTTTATTATTTTATTTGAGAATAATTGATTTCAATTTTTTTTAAAAAAAAGTAAATATTAAGTTTTTTTTATGTATATGCACAATCAATTTGTAACTAAAAAAGCTTATAAATTGATTTTGATAATTAATTTTATTATAAATAATATAATAGTAATTTTATTATACTTTTAGCGCTCAAATATTTAGTCAAGTGAATTGGACAATAGCATAAAAAAAAAGAACACACGAAATCAATACAGACTTATATAGATTTGAGTTCCTATTCAATGTAGAAAAAAAAATTTCTTCAAAAACAATACCAACTATCAAATATATTTTTTTTCATGGAAACCATAAACGTAAGTTTCAATATATCAAAAATTCTAAAAAAATATATATAAGTTTTTTTTCATGGAAACCATAAACGTAAGTTTCAATATTTATTTTATAAGATTGTATTGATAAAATAAAGCAACAATTATTATTATTTTTTTTTTTGGGTGAAAATTGCATAGAAATTTTAACATTTAAAATACATTTTTTTAATATTGATGAGAATATTAATTTTTAATAATATGTATATTAGGTTTATGTATATTAGATTTTAAAAAATAAGCTTTTTTTTTTTTTTTTACAGAAAACATAAAAATGTTTCCTAACTACAACTTTAGATGAAAAAAAAACATAAAATCATCATATCATATTTATAGATATACTCAAAATAATAAATAAAATTAAAAGAAAAAGCTCTATTTAAAAACTATGGTACCATCAGGTATTGTTTTTAAATTTATTTGAGAGGAATTGATTTCAAAATATTCATTTTAAAAAAATAAGTATTAAGATTTTTTTTTTTTTATATGAACAATCAACTTGCAATTAAAAAAATAAGAAATATTTTTTAAAGAAAACATAAAAGTTTCTCCAAGATATAACTTTGGGCATAAAAATAAAACCACCATATCATATTTATAAAATCGTTTAGTTTTTATACCTAATAAAATTCTTTTTAATGCATTCTTTTTACATAGGTTAGGATATTTATATGAAAAACAATAATGAAGGAGTTTCTTAAATTGCAAAGTAAATTATAAATTAGTCTCTCTTGTTTCGAGAAATTAATTAATTAGTCTTTTTAATTTCAAAAACTAATTATTTAGTTATTTTAACCAAGTATTGACCACGATAATTTTTTTTAATTATAAAATATCTTTTTTTTTCATCAATCTTTTCATCTTTTCACCTATTTTTTATTCTTTTTCTATATGTTAAAGAAAAAATTAAAATAAATTGAAAAATAGCAAATAAAACTAAATAATCAATTTTTAAAATTATAAAAAACTAATTAATTTGTTTGTGAAAACAACAGGGACTAATTTACAATTTATTCTTGAATTGCAATTACTTCTCTGCCCAAAAAAATAAAGAGGAAAAAAATAATTAATGACATGAGCATTAAATGCTCTGTCTAAAGCATATGATTTCATAAAGGCAATGACCAAAATAAGCTAAAGAAGCAAATTAAAAGTAAATCAGTCAAGGATAAATATAGAATTTCTCAAATCTACTGAGTGACATGACATAAATTAAGAGTAAAATAGAAAGATCTTTGTAAAAATAAATAAATAAATAAATAAGAAGCAAAACCCAAAAATCGGATTAAAAGAAAAAAAAAAGAATATGAACAGATAAAAAAGAGAGCGTGAACAGTCTATAAACAACGAATATCTCATTTCTTTTAGTTTCTTTTATAATATTGTATCAAGATAGGTCATATATACTATAAAATACTAACAAAAAATTGCATTTTATTTCAAATATATATATTTTTTTTTACAAAAAACAAGCTCTCTCCAAAAAAAAAAAAAGTTTGCTATTAGATTTGTGTTACCAATTAAATTTCTCTTTAGAAATGATTTAGTGTGTAAGTGACAATTATTTCGGGATTAAAAATATTTATATTCCACAAAAATATATGTAGAAATGATTTTGGATTTTAAAAGTAGAGAAGGGTAAGGTTTTTTGACAGAAAAAAAACCTAATAAATGACTTTTTGACGTTAAAACCTAAAAAAGTAAGATAGATTATTACTTTAGAAAAGGTTATTTAAAAAACTCCACGTTAAGAGAATCTCTTCCATCTTCTTTCACTCTTATCCTTCTCTCTTTCTCTCAGAACACTGGCAGTGAAACACCAGCACCAGGAAAACCAGTCCTCCCACGGAAGCCACGACTAGTCCTTACAATGATCTCAGTTGCAGCAGATATGTCACGTCGTTCAAACGGTACCCTAAACAGTCGACGCATACTTAGTCTCTTTGATTTCGAGTCCTCTCCTTCCCGGCCCTAACAAACCTGTCCACTCTGTCTTCTCATCTGATATCACCGTCGACCCCACCCGCAACCTCTGGTTCCGCCTCTACACCCCAACAAATAGTGTTGGTGACACTGCTGCCTCTTTGCCTGTTTTGATATTTTTTTCATGGAGATGGGTTTTCTTTCTTCAAGTCAGGCATCAAGTGCATAAGACCTCGTTTCTAAGATAAATTTTCAAAAAGAAGTTAATAGATCATATGTACATATAGATTCAATGAAAGTAACCCTAATAATTTGATTGGATGGAAAGATGCATGCAATCAATGGCTAAACATTTGGCTGTAATAAGAAATTAAATACTACTTGAAACAAATTTTCTGAATATGTGACTCTCCCAGTCATCCTTCTTGTTGAAAAGGTGGGGCAACTTTCAACTACCTGTGAGGCGGAAGCCCATTCAAATTAATCTCTCTTTGAAAACTATATATTTTAGGTCTGAAAAGAAAAGGCTGTTATGACTTACCTAATCTATCCCATTATCATCTGCCTCCGTCCAGGTACGTAGTGGATTGAAATTTATACGTCAAGGCAATATAGGATAAGGTTATACGTACTTCATAATTCATATTTATTAAACCATTAGTTTTTTATATCTAAGAACCTGTGAAACTAAAGTTTTTATTTCCCTATGTGAAGATTTTTTTAATTATTATTATTTCGTTATTGAGATTGATCATTTATTTGTTGATGTATTGCTGTTTGGTATCGCTTTCAATGAAAAAAAAATCAAAAATCAAAACACATTGACAATGGAGAAGTCTTTATCATTGGTTACTAGTTGTATATTGCTCGCTCAATAAATATAATCAAGATTATAAATTAGTCCATCTGTTATGAAGTGGTCGGGATCGTCAACGGATCGGACTCAGATCGGATCATAATATTTTATTTATTTAGTAAAACAAATCAGATCGAATCTTATGAATTCGGATCAGATTTTGAAAATATGAAAATTAGATCCGGATCCTAACGATCTCGGATCATATTTGGAGATTCATCGGATTTATCACTTGATTTTTATAGAAAACTTATATTTACTACATTTCATATATTGCTTGAATTTAAAATATATTTCAACCACTATATGTATGATAAAATATATTATGATAATATTTCATTTATCAATTTTATAAAACAATTCAAAATGCCAAACAATTGAAAAGCACAAAATTAAACAATTTTAATAAAAGTTTTCATTGAAATAGGCGGGAAGTATGATAAAACTAAAATAAATAAATAATAAATATATTATTTTTTGTCCACTTGGTAGCAAAAACGAGTGATGAAAAATATAATAACATCAACTCTTTAAAAGATACATAAGTCAATTTATAATATATTTTTTTCACAAAATTGAATTAAAAAAAATGACAAGAAATTTATATGTGATTTTTAAGAAAATACAATTGTTATTGTGAAAGAATATATGTTATTTGAACTTTACAATAAATAAACTCTTAATTTCAAAATTGTTTAATATTTATATTTTTTTCATATTTAAATTTTTAATATTTCAAAAATATTATATTTATTTTAAAAATATTATTTTTAATTACAAATCGGATCATTATCCGATTAGATCAATATAGATCCACATATGATACATTTAATAAACGAGTTAGTGAATTCGAATTATAATCGAACTCAAACAAAAAAAATATTTATTAGATCTATTAGGTCAATATCCAATCCACTTACAGCTCTAAAAGTGATAGTCTTTTTAATTTTTTACACACTTTAAGAAATTTATTAATTATAATGTCATATCAATATTTTTAAAAAGACTTTTCAAAAATACTATATTTTGTTTAAGGAGAAAATGTAATAGATAATTTTTTTATCAATTAAGAATATTTTTTAAAAAATACGTACATTATTAAAAACTTTTACCAAACAAATATTTTAAGACAAATATGCATAGAAAATAGCACGATCTCTTTAAACCGGAGAGAGTATTAGTTATTAATTATTTGTTATTAGTTATATATTGCTATCTCACATATGGATGCTTAATTTATAAGTTGACAATACAAGGGGGCAAATCTAATTAATATTTTACATTTATTGAGTCAAACAAAATGTTGACGTCAGTGCACCAGCCAACCATACACCATTATTACATATTGCAAGATTTATAGAAATTTTGCAGGATGGATGGGATATGGAAGAAAGATAGCAAATTAATAGGTTTGATGAAGAGGTCACGACCATCAAATTAGGCTACCAAGTGGACAAAAAATAAAAAAAATTATTATTTAAAGAATAAGGTTATAATCTAAGAGATATAATTTATTTTGCAAAACTAAGCAGAAAATAGGCTTGATGAAGAGGTCACGACCATAAAATTAGGCTGTCACCATATCAGGACATGTTGATGTAAGGGCTCTTACAATGTAGATATTAAATTTGATGTGAGTTAATTCTTTAGGTTTAAATTTAATGGATTTTATTTATTTATTAATTATAATCCAATAGTTTAATCAACATTTTTTTTATTGATACCAGTATTTTAGAATTTTTTAGAAATCTTCATTTGATTTCATATTAAAGATATAACTAATCATGATCAAAACGGTTCGGGATGGAGTAAAAAAATTTTCCTTTCAATAAGTGTAATTTTAAAATTTAAACTCTACACACACTACAACAAAAATAAGTTTTAGCGACGGTCCACAAACCGTCGCTAAATACCTAAATTAGCAACAATTTTCCATACTTTAGCAACGGTCTAAAAAATGATTACAAAAATTAAATTTTGCGATGGTTTTTAGCAACGGTCCACAATCCGTTGCTACGTTTATCGGCTAACCATTTTAGCAACGGTCTAAACCATTGCTAAACCATTGGTACATTTAGCAACGGTTTAGCCCGTTGCTAAAACAGATTGGTAAATGTTATTTAATATTTTTTCAGAGGTTTTATAAAAAAAAAAAAAGCCTAAATAAAAAATATTTTTAGCGACGGTCACGGACCGTCACTATTCCATTACCAAAAGGAAAATTAGCAACGGTTTGGTGTTATTAAACCGTTGCCAAAATATTCCTTTTAGCGACGGTCCAAACCGTCGCCAAATCAAACTCGGAAATGGTTTAGCGACGATATGGGGCCGTCGCTAAACCGTTGGTAAGTCGTTTAACGGTTGCAAAATAACCGTTGCAACGTTATATTAGCGACGGTCCCGGACCGTCGCTAAAAACTTTACCCTTCTATAAATAGCAATCGATCGGAATCTGCCATTTTCTATTTTCTTCTCCTCTCTTCTTCTCCTCCCGTAGACGAATCTATGCCTTTTTCGTCTCCAATCCTTTGATCTCTCTCATCAAAGCTATTGTTTCCTTAAAATCTCCATATTTCTTTCCTCTTTTCCTCCTCCTTTCAAGTTTTCTCTCTTCCGTTGAAGTTGTCGTTTTTCGACGACCATATTCCGACGAGGCTTTTTTTCCGACGGTTTCTCCCACTCCTTCTCTTGGTGACGAGTGCACCTAAATCTAAACCATCCTTTCAATTATTAATTGTTTCAGTTATTTATTTATTTCAAATAATTAGATTTTAATTTAATTTAATTTAATTACTTATTATTGCTAGTTTAATTATTGAATTGTTTGTTTATTGCATGTGTTTTTTTAATTTGATTATTTAATTAAAATTTATTTTGTGTGTTATTTTAGTGTAAATTATGAGAGTTAATTAAAATGTTTAATTGTTAATTGTTATGTTAATGTTGTTGTTAATTATTAATTAATTGAATATTATTGTTAACTTTTTAATTTTGTTTTATTTTTTTTAAATTGTTGATTAAATTAATTTGATTGTTAATTGTTAATTTACTTACTTTAATTTATTGTTAAATTTTTTTTTAGAAAATATAATTGTTATATTTTATTTTATATTGTTATTTAAATCGTTATTGTTATTGTTATTAGTGTAGCTAATAATTGTTAATTTACTTAAGTAATTCACAATTTATTGAAAACATTATTAATTTCTGTAATTCCTAGTTCATTAAGTTAAAGCGTTAGGTTAGTACAAAATAAATTAAAACAATTTTCTAAAATTATTTTTAAATAAATAAAACATAAATTTATTAGAAATATTTGTAATTATAATTAGGAATTAAATAAATAATTAAGTTGTATTTAAAAAATTTCTTAAAAAATTTTTAAATACATAAAAAATAAAATTGTAGGAAAAATTTGTAATTGTTAGTAATTAAATAAATAATTAAGAGTTATTTAAAAAAATTTCTTAAAAAAATTTTGGATAGATAAAAAATAAAATTATAGGAAAAATTTGTAATTGTTAGTAATTAAATAAATAATTAAGTTGTATTTAAAAACATTTTCTTAAAAAAATTTTAGATAGATAAAAAATAAAATTGTAGGAAAAATTTGTAATTGTTAGTAATTAAATAAATAATTAAGAGTTATTTAAAAACTTTTCTTAAAAAAATTTTAGATAGATAAAAAATAAAATTATAGGAAATATTTGTAGTTGTTAGTAATTAAATAAATAATTAAGATTTATTTAAAAACTTTTCTTAAAAAAATTTTAGATAGATAAAAAATAAAATTATCGGAAAAATTTGTAATTGTTAGTAATTAAATAAATAATTAAGTTGTATTTAAAAAATTTTCTTAAAAAAATTTTAGATAGATAAAAAATAAAATTGTAGGAAATATTTGTAATTGTTAGTAATTAAATAAATAATTAAGAGTTATTTAAAAAATTTTCTTAAAAAACTTTTAGATAGATAAAAGTTAAAATTATAGGAAATATTTGTAATTGTTAGTAATTAAATAAATAATTAAGATTTATTTAAAAAAATTTCTTAAAAAAATTTTAGATAGATAAAAAATATAAATTATCCGAAATATTTGTAATTGTTAGTAATTAAATAAATAATTAAGTTGTATTTAAAAAATTTTCTTAAAAAAATTTTAGATAGATAAAAAATAAAATTGTAGGAAAAATTTGTAATTGTTAGTAATTAAATAAATAATTAAGAGTTATTTAAAAAAATTTCTTAAAAAAATTTTAGATAGTAATTAAATAAATAATTAAGTTGTATTTAACATTTTTTTCTAAACTTAGGTTGTTTATATATTTAG